TGGGTACCTAAATGTTTAGTATTTTAATATTAATTTAATGCAAATGTATATATACCCAATAATATTAAACAGAAAAAATAAATATATTCAATAAAAATCTTTATTTTAATGAATGTACAATGTTGCGCTCAGTAAATATGTCAATACTGAAATGAAAATCAGTCTAGCATAGGGAAAATTGGGGAATTACAGTACGAAATAGCAAATTGCACAGCGGCATTATTGTGAATCGGTGTAAATTGAGCCGGCGTAAACCAAGGGCTACCTGTATTGCACTCACTTTTTACTCACTTTTTCTGTATTTCAACTCACTTTTCTCACTTTTTCAGAGGGGAAATGGCACTCCCAGGCCTGGAGTGAATAAACACCCCTTTGTGTTCCTAATAACTGGTTGCTGTTCATCTACGCAACAATACTAATCTATATGTACCTAATTATGTGATGTATTTGATAACTGTTTTGTATATCTTGAATTATAAGTGTAATCCAGCATACTTCTTACATAAATAATTCTTATTTATAATAGTAAAAGTTTTTGTTTTTAACTGATTTGATTAGTTTACAGCATCACTTATTAACTGAACTCTGGTGACATGCGGCTCTAATCTAGTAAACTTTGATAGATTTAAACTGAGTCACAATTTTATCATATCTATTTTAGTGAGTCAAAGTTCTAGGTTGACAATATAGTGCAACAGTGTTGTTATTTTATTTTTGTGTTTGTTTTTGTAATTGTTATTTATAGTTGCTGTTTATTTCTAATTTTTTCATATTACTAATAGTTGGAATTATTTATTTATCATGGAATTAACACAAAACTATCTAATGCATTCTTGTATCATTAAAATCTAATAAACAAATCAATCTAAAATTTTTCTTCTTTAATATAATTTGCATTTGCTCATTTAAAATTATAAAATTATAGGTTATAGATTCATTAATACTGTTTTTATTTTATAATGTTCCTTATTATTTCAGCAAAAAGATACATAGAACCTAAAATCAAACCAATTGCTTTAGAATTATTAAATATTATGAGAGAGACAGAAAATGATGATTTAACAACTGTGATGCAGAAAATTGTTTGTACATATTCTAAAGAATTAATGCCAATTGCTGTTGAAATGACTCGACATTTGGTAAGGATTTTTCAGAATTATACAAGTTCAAAATGTATTTACATTATTTTAAATTTGTTTTTAATATTTTGTAAGTAATTATAATTTGTGATAGAATTAAAATTGTTTTTAATATGATAAAGTCTGAATACTATATACTTTACATAAGCAAAACAATAATATAATGTTGTGTGTTCAAAAATATATTTACAGTTGTCCCTCTATAGTCCGACGTTTTTTAATCCGACATGCTCAGTAGTCTGACGCACCTCCCGTCAAGGTACCCGTCCCCGTTACGTGTCTGCTTGCACAGAAGCATGTCGCGATGTGAATCTCCCCATTTAATTTTTAAACGATGACACACATTTCGTGTGTTTTATGTGAGCAGTTCTGTTCGAACAGTTGGAGTAGAGAATATTGTAAGTTACTGCTAGCAAAACAATGCGAAATATGTAATTATTTTCGGTAATCCG